CTTTACCCTGGACACTTCTACCCCCGACAATTACCCCCCGGACGTTTGACCACCCCGGACCAATTACCCCCCGCGACATTTACCGCCGCCAGATCCACTCCTACCGCCCGACGACAATTACCCCCCACGAGCATTCTCACCCCCGCGCACATTTACCCCCGACATATCACGCCCCGGACAATCACTCCGCGGACATTTACCCCCCGACCAAGTACCCGCGGACAATTAACTTCCCGACAACTCACCCCCCCCGACAATCACCCCCCGGACATTTACACCACCGGACCAATACACCCCGGAACACTTTACCCTCGGGCAATTACACCGCCCCGCGAAGACATTTTGCACCCGACGGGCCTCGGGACAACTTTACACCGCCCAGCGTCAGGTTGCGCTCACGCCCCGCCCGCGGCCTACGCCCGCCCCTAACCCCCCGGACATTTACTCACCTTGGTGTTTATTATTCATTTGTTGCAACAGTGATCACAGGCAGGAGGTCGAGGAGGAGGGGAAGAAGGTGGGTCGGGAGGAGGGGAGAGGTGGGGACGAACGTGGTGGGGGATCGAAGGAGAGGGGAGAGGTGGAAGGAAGAGGAGGAGGGGGAGAGGTGGAGAAGAGGAGGAGGAGGAGAGGGAGTGGAGGAGAGATGAGACGGAGGTGAGCGAGGCGGAGCGAGGAGAACTGTGGGTGAGGAGGGGGAGAGGGTGAGGAGGAGGAGGAGGGGGAGAAGGTGGAGGAGGCAGAAGAGGAGGAGAAGAGGAGGAGAGGAGGTGGAGGAGAGGAGGAGGAGGAGGAGGAGAGGAGAGAGGAGGTGGAGGAGGGGAAACGTGGGGAGAAGGTGTGAGAGGAGGGGGAGAAGGTAAGAGAGAGGGAGGAGGAGGAGGAGGAGAGAGGAGGAGTTTAGAGACGAAGGAGAAGTAGAGAGGAGGGAAGAAGGTGGTGAGGGAGGAGAGAAGAGAGGAGCAAGGAGGTGGAGGAGGAGTGGAGTAGGAGAAGAAAGAGGTGGAGGAGTAGACGAAGCGGAAGGAGGCGTAGCGAGGCGCCAGGTGGTGGACGGAGGGGAGAAGGTGGTGGTGGCGAAGAGGGAGGAGGAGCAGAGGCCTCCGAGGAGGAGAAGGGAAGGGAGGAGAGTGGAGGCAGGAGGCACCGGGAAGAGGAGGGAGGAGGAGACGGAGATGGAGAAGAAGGAGGGGGAACGTGGGAGAAGGTGGCGAATGGAAGAGGGGGAACGAGGGGTGAGGAGGAGAGGAGAAGGATCGAGTGGAGGAGGTGGCGGAGGGACGGAAGTAGATGGAAGGGCGCGCTCCTACCTCGCTCTCCTCATCCACTCCCTTCCTCCTCCTCCTCACCTTCCGCCTCCTCTTCTCCTCACCACCTCTCCCCTCCTCCCTCCACCACCTGGCCCCCGCTACCTTTCTCCCCCCTCCTCCTCCCTTCCTACCTCTCCGCCCCTCCTCCTCGCCACCACCTTCTCCCCACGTTTCTCTCCTCCTTCCTCCTTTCACCTCCTCTTACCTCCCTCTCCTCTCCTCTCTCTCGCTCCTCCTCTCGTCCACCTTCTCCCCCCTCCGTTCCTCCTTTTCACCTTCTCCGCCTCCTCCTCCACCACGTTTCGTCCCCACATTCTCCTTCTCCTCACCTCCTCGTCGCTACCTCCTTCCCTTCACCTCCTTTTCTCCTCTCCTCCTCCCCCCACACCTCTCTTCACCTTCTCCCCCTCCTCTCCACCACCTTCTTCTCTCCTCTTCGACCTCCTGCCTGTATCACTGTTTAACAAATGAATAATTAAACACCAAGTGAAGTAAATGTCCGGGAGAAATAATTGTTCGGCGGGGCGTAAATGTCCGTGGGGTAATTGTCCGCGGGGTAAATGTCGGCGGGGTGATTGTCCGGGGGTAATTGTCGCGGAAGTAATTGTCCGGGGGGTAAATGCCCGGGGCGTAATTGTCCGTGGGGTAAAATGTCCGGCGGGTAATTGTCCAGGGGCCGTGAATGGCATGGGGGGTAATTGTCCGGGGGGTACATGTCCGGGGGGTGATTGTCCGGAGGGTGATTGTCCGGGGGGTAATTGTCCGGGGGGTATTTGTCCTGACACCATATATATCTATATATGGTCATTGGTCATGGTCATATATTAGTTTGTGGTTTAATGTCATTTAGGTTAGGATTATCAATCATTAAGTCATTAATCATTATTATATCAAAGTTGGGGAACACTCCTATGGAGCGTTAGCCACTTTCCTCTACCCAGCGACGCGGTGTGATAAGACTAACTCCCTAATTATGGCACAAACTAATTGTAACGGTGAGAGTGACTGTACCACAGTCCAGCATACCTAGCACAGAATTGCATGCTTCTTCTACGTAGCTGCTGACCTTGGTAATACAGCGCAGCACAGCCTCGATGGGTTTGCTTGGCTGAGTACTTTCTGCACCAGATGCGTCAGCGGGTGTTGCCAGATAAGTATAATTGATGATGATAGTAGAAGTTGCAAGTTGGCATGATAACTGCTATCATGAAATCACGAACACATGTATAGATTGAATGAATAAAGATGGGCTTGCTTATAGATGAAGATATCATTGATCTTTATTCTGCTATCAGCGAGACATAGATCACGATTCCACATTAACACAGCTCAATGGTCAGTTATATGTGCAGCCATATAGATTTCTGCACCGAAGTTCAAGAAGCTTAACAATATGCTTCCCAAAAAGTCTCTCACACATAAATGTAGGATGGCAGGTATTAGGCCGACACGTGCTATGGCAGACTGACTCCGAAGTTCCCCGTGCGTTTCTGTCCGCAATGCCTGCTGTCACGAACGACCGACGCATAGATTATGTCTACGTGCAGCGGCAATTTTAGAGAGAAAACGTCGGCATCACATCGGTCACCGTGATGGGTGGTTTGGGCTAACGTAATAAACGCGCAACAGTGTGAACGAAACGGGGAAGTGAGCGCCCTTGTTTATTTAGATGGTAAAAAGCCACATGGAAGGTAATTAATGATGGCGTAGTACGTAGCTGCTTAGCCTGTTGCGAGTGTACAATCTCCGTCATCTGCAAGGTGACAGAGGCATCCACACAGCCGCTGTGTTGTATGTACTACCTCTACGTTGAACAGTAACTCAACTGGGTGGTCATCCCTCGCCGAAGCTACACTTACGCCGTAGCCGCCCTAGCTACACTTTACGTATTTGGTCGGTGAATCAATCCTAGACCGGTTTAGAGCGTGTGTTGTAGAGGGTCACTGGCGAGGCTTGCATTGGTTGGTTCTACACGCTAGTTGTCAACGCGTTAGCGGCGAGGGGGGCAGGGATGAAAGTAAAGGTGTGAACTGAAAACAGGTGTCCTTGGGTCAAGGATAGATGGGCTTGGAACACAGCGGGCGGTGATGGCATTACATGTGGCGTAAAAGAGCCAGCCACCTACTCGCGACACAGCGAGTCTCTGCCACAGAAGGCGCAACGGCTACTTTTTAGCTCATCTGACGTAGTCAGGTGCAGCCTTGTAGAATCGCATTGTCCGTCCGTCCGTCAACAGTTGGGCACAAATCTTAACCGCTCGACGTGACGCTTCACGATATTCGGGACGTGGGTGGGTAATGCCGAAACGAGTTGCCGGATGTCGAAGCTGGGGTCAAAGGTCAAAGGTCAAGAGGTGTAAAAGAAGGGGAACATTCCCTCCTTAACTTAAGGTATAGAGAGGAAATGCAGAATTGCGAGCACAAATCTAAACGGCTCGACCTAGGCTCGTGATAGTGTGGTCTAGCATCATGGTAGGAAAAGCCATCACTGAGCCGAAATTGGAGGTCACAGGTCCAAAGTCAATGGGCACAGGGCAGATTTTAGACATTGTTCTGAGAAACATGGTCTGAACGGATGCGTATTGAAAAACTTTTTTGTTTCAGCGGTACCTACCATTTTTATGGCTTTATTGAAAGGACGCTGAATGTACTTTCAGCTGACATGCGAAGAGTAAGTGCTCGGATAACCCGTTTTTTGAGTCCTCAAGAGGGGTTACAAGCATTGATTTGTTGACTGTTAACAAAGGACTGAACTGCTTTTGCTATTATTAGAACCCATACCTGTGTGAATGTGAGGCTACAGTTGTAATGAGGCTACAGTGTAATGTGAGTTGCACAGTTTAATTGCAAAGGCAAATGTTTGTTGAACAAGGTTTACGTTCCTTAAATCATATTATTTTCTAAAGCAGTCTGTCATCAGTGAATGCTCGTTTGGGTAGGCAAAAACACGGGGCAGCCCATGGCTGGCATGCTTCTAATCATAATTGTTGCCTGCCAACCTGCAATGCACATGTGTCTGCAATGCATAGAGATTAGGTGGGTGCGAAAGTGTAGCTGATATATTTGTTCCAATTGGCTACGAAAGTCAAACAAGAATAAAGAAGACTTATGTATAAGACGTCTTGCTATGCACAAATGAATTTATCAGCAGAACACCAGACACCAGATGAGCCCTGTCGCACTGCGGCACTTGTTATTTCACTTTTACACGACTGGCTAGTGAACTCAGATTGCAGACACGCTATGTCACCTTGAGAATTTGGGGACAGCCATGAAGATTGAATAAGAAACATTTATCTACACATCTACCCAAATAGATGCGCATTCGACTGTAATGGAGCAAGCGGACAGTTAATGACCATTATGGGATCGTAATTTTGTTATTAGTGCTGCAGTCAGTTGGCTGAGGATGGGTAATTGATATCCACGATACTTCTCCGTTGCGGTTGTTAGTGCTGTCTGCTGATGAATGTGTCCGCGGTTGAAGGAATTCGTTCTTCAACCTGTCCAACGCGATTCGTTGACAGTGGCGAGAAAATATTACAATATTATATCAGGAGTAGTCAATAAATAGTCAATAAATAAAAAGTTTACAATAATTGAAGTATTCAGTTCTTTATTTCAGGTGAGGTGTGAACAATATTTACGAAATTGGTGACGATATCTTACGAGTTTGTATTCTGTTTTGCAGACTAGAGCACCTGCTCCCGTCTCTTCCCCCGCCGCACCACCATCGCAGGCAGATGGTGACGTGACGTTCAACATGACTGCGAGCGAGCTGAGGGCGAGGCTGCAGTCCAAGAAGAAGAAGGATCCCCGAATGAGCGCACAGCTCGACGCAAAGACGAAGAGCGACATGTTGAACAAGCTATAAAAGCCCAGGCGGCAACTACACACAGAGGTCTTCTCTCTCATGATGTCTAACATAATCATCAGGTGCAGGAAAGTACTGCACCACCGTCCAGAACATCCTGTAATCATGAAGTTATTCAGATCGTGAGATGGTGGTATTCCTTATGTCGGTGGACGCGTTCCTGGATGTTGCATAGGTGCCTTAAATCACCGAAATTCTAAGAAAAATTTTCACAGTTATGGCGACTAGGTCGAAAGATAGATTTGCATTCTCTAGCTGGAAAAACAAAATGTGAAAAAAATAATATACTAGAATTGTCATATGAACGGTGTAAAATGAAACGCCCAAGTTAAGACAGCATTTCCGCGCACTTGTATTTAGAACTGTGCACGCAATTTACGAATAATAGTATCCTCCAATTCTAGTGAGAAACAAGGTGGTCAGGCAGATTAGATACACCCTGCGTGCTTACACGCTCGGTGTGTAATTCCCAACGCAAAGAATTTCACTTGGAAAATATTGATTACTCATCTATAACACTTGCATACGAAAACGGGTGGCAACTTCATTTCGCACTGAGGGAAATTGCCTATTTCCCTTTCGCCATGTAAAATACAATTTCTCTCATTTAGATACACTCGTGATCATTGATGGTAAATTTGCGATGCAAATATTTCGCTGGACAGTCTCGGTTAAAGTGAAAATAGCAGAGTAAAGTCTTGCTACTGCGGTGGCTAGGCAGATAGACGCTTACGTAGTGTAGGTAGACGGTGCTGTAAAGTTTATTTGCTGTTGTTATAATCACCGATAAATATTACCACTATTATAATATTCAAGAGAATTGCATGCAAATGAATTTATAGCGTTTCGGTTGTGAAGATGCAAGTATTGGACCATATAAATAGTGGCAGCAATAACGTTTCCAGCAGGACTTTCTATGTATTGCAGTATTATTAGTTCTGGGTTTGCTAAAGGCTTGAGACAAACTCTACCACGTTGCTTATTGTTGTACGCTGCTACTAGCAACAATGTCACTATTTTGTAAACAAACAGTGCCAACACTGTTTTGTGGGCAATGGGCGCTGTTCCGTAACACTATTCACAGAACTGATGACGTTGTAATGTAGCGAATATAGTAAGTACTTATATTGCTGCTGGATATGTTGTTGATGCCACTTGATGTCGTTACCTATCGTGTAATAGTAAAAACCAATGAGCGGTGTGGTGTTATTACCTGCAGTGGCAACTTTCTGTCTGTGATGTAGTTATGTGTTTCGTCTTATCAAAAGCTATCACATATTATGCGCCACCTACAACCTTCAAAACTTCGTTCCTTTACAACTGGCGGATTCTAACCTGTGTTGTCGTTCAAGCACGTGCACAGGCCAAAACTATACTGCGTGCCAAATGTAGAAGTATTGGGATATTTGTGGTAGGATTTGACAGACTAACGTGTTGACCATTTTTCTGGTGGTAGCCTTAGGTCCCCTTATGTAGCCTGTGGAAGCATTGGCAATTAGAAAGTGGGGTTAGCATGGATATCTACTCACCCCGGAGCGAGCTCCTTGGTTTGCGCGCCCCCTACCAACCTGCGTAGCGGGCCAGCAGTGTGTGTGTGTGTGTGTGTGTGTGTGTGTGTGTGTGTGTGTGTGTGTGTGTGTGTGTGTGTGTGTGTGTGTGTGTGTGTGTGTGTGTGTGTGTGCGTGCGTGCGTGCGTGCGTGCGTGCGTGCGTGTGTGCAGGTTGGTATCGTGCGCGGGTGGTGGGAGATCCTCTATAATTGACCTGTATCGTCGTTACTCTGGCTGAATTATGCCGTTATATTACGCGTTAGTAGTACTACGCGCAGTGTAGCCAAGCAGGCTGAATCGAACAACTCGCGCCCAGTGTAGGGAGGCACGTGTATAGTTTAGAAGATTCAGGTGTATGGTTGAACTGGCAGGTAGCGCGTCCGTGAAAACTGACGTTTTTGAGGTTTTCGGCGGTCGTTTAGCGGTTACTACCGTCGGATACCATATGACAGTAGTCTAACAGCAAAAACATTGAAATTCGCGTGTCTGCAGACATGGCTGTCTCGCTACGGCTCATGTACAGTAGTTTTCCACTTGATCGAACCTTTGGACGTGCAGTGTACTTATTTGACCCTGTAGGCGAGGACGCCCGCAGATTACAGCGTCTGCGAGTGCGACAGAAGTAGCCAGTGTAAACACTCACAACACGTGTATTGTCTTTGGAGCGTCGTGGCATGAGCATGGATAACAGGAAGGTTTATGTGTGGATAACTAAGACGAGTCGTATATTTTTAAAGGACATGTAGAAACAAATTGGTGCAAACTATTTTTGTGATGTACCCACCATAGTTCATGCGGTTACATTTTGGATCGGAGTGGCATATTAATTACCCGTTAAACATAATTGTATACCCATTTTGTATTCGTAGTTTTATTTACCGCCCCATACACCGTTCCTTTCAATCCCTTCCATGTTTGTATATTTTAGTACCGATAGGTTTAAGTCAATCTGTCATCAGTTTAACTCTGCTGGGCTGCCAGATTTACGAAGAAAGGCGTTTGCGCTTGTGGGGTGTTGTAAAGTAGTCAATTTCAGTATTTGTTCGGGAATTTGCTGTTATTTAGCATCCTTTAGTATAGACCTCTATATGCTACTCATGAAAGAAATTTATTCCTTAATTAACATTCCTAGCTTGTGGTAAAGTTATCATTCCTATCGTTGCTCTTATCGGAATACCATTTCCGAGGGCCTTATTAACAGGTAATATATTTCCATTGAAATTTGATGATTCCATTACAGTAACGTTCACATTGTTAGTGGTGGACCAAGTGGAGGTTATGTCGCAGTAGGTGCAGATTAGCGTGAAATTATTACGTTTAGGTGTCGTGACAAAGGGAAAGATTTGTATCCCGTCGCTCTGTCTCAGAAATGAGCAGGCGGTGAATTTACGGAACGTACTCGTGAGGATAGTATTCGCGAGTGCTACGAATGTACGGCATTCCTTCGCGAGTACGCGGGAAAACGACACGTGATCACGAGAAAGCCGCGTAGCAGCAGTGAAGGCTTGATTTACTCGCTTGCTCGGTGTAGTAGTATTTCAGGGGATTGTCACAAATTGAATGACCGCAACGCAAGCATATAGTTTTCTGATTAATTGTCTATGATTTACCGATTCCTTTATGAATAATATTGAATTAAAGCTAAACACGTGTATTTGTCGTGACAGGATGGTTCGCGCAGTAAAATGCACTGTGTATCACTTGGCTACACATACGTTAATAAATATATAAATCTATATCTCAGGTTAATAATCTTGCAATATTAGTGTAGTTGTCATGACTAATGTCACTATATTTGATTTAGATGCAGACATTTGGCGTGCTTGTTGGGCGTGCAGCACTAGCGTTTTATAGTGTCCCCACGTAGACATCGGCTGATCGTACCGTCATCGGGTAGTTTCATTCTGGATATTTAGTAGTGTTGCAAGCGTGATTAGCTCGTGATTTCTCGCGTGATTGCATCGGTATTTTTGACTATATTGCTTTATAGCTGTCGCCGCTTAGCACGTGGTTATATATGCGAGTTCGTTGAACTGCACTGTGTCAAGCAACGATTTCTAAAATGGAATTTATAATAACAGATATAAATATATATATAATTAAATTTAATCAGAAGATCGTGGCTCTTTTCCTTATTTTGTTAGTGATTGTACCAATTATTCGATTCAATTCCGTGATAACCCCGCTCGGGGTGGTAATGCCAACTACTCCTGTTATGCGGGCGTCGCGTTCACTGCGAAGCGTGAAACCTCGGTCAGGACAGAATGTTCTTAATGTGTGAAAACATGGCTCTCAACAATATGGACTTAATTCCCCCATGACTCGGATGATCACGTAAATTATTTTGCAATGGCAACACTACAGTATCCTGCCAAAAAAATTCAACGGAGAGGCAGAATCCGGTGGATTAGCACAAGTTCAGGCGACAAAAAAACACGCCTAAAAGAACTTTGTCCTCGCATTATGTTATTGTTGGGTCATGAAATATCGCAAGGTCATCGTGTGAAATTGAAATCGGATGAAAGTGGTGCATTCGCATTGACACTTCAAAATTAATCGACTTCATACGCTACACGCTTGCGCGCATCCTACACACAGGCTCTTGAAGCGTTTCAATAAAATATAATGCTAACTAAATACGAAATCTATTTACCATCTACCAAATTCTTAATGTTTCTATACTCTCTTTCACCTATTATTGCCGACAGTTTCCTGTAAATTCCGTCCAAGTCCTACGTGCAAGCATATACGCTGCAGGCGGCCATTGCTCTCGCGGCGTGCACTGTTGTACGCTTACACTTATATATATAGTGTACACCTTATGTGTGTACCTTAGGTATTATTAGTTCTTGATAGGATATATATCGTACGTCGCACTGCGTATGTGTTATGCGCGGCGCGCGTAGGACCCCAGTTTTAGGTATGAAGGGTATCCTAACTCCTAAGGAACTCGTTAGAAAAATAGACGCGCACCAAAGAGAAACCCCCTATTTACTACCAATACCAACATCGTACTGGCAGCATTGCCCGCGGCCGCTCTGTGGATGGTCCAGCCAGATGCCAGTTCTGGCGATCGTATTTATATGATATACAACGTCGAAAATGTGACCACGCAGCGTAACGTACTACAATCCAGTTTGTTTCGAAGTACTGTACAGAGACTCCAGGCATACAACGCCGGGATGCCGTCGTAAGATGAGGACAAAGTCGAAGCTCAACTAGGCTAACTCAGACGTAGGAGATGTACTTCTGTGCCGTACTATAACGCAGCGAAATAAACACAGTTGACGCACGTACACAAATTTCGAAGTGTGTCTTTATATTTCCACAATGTAATCAGGAGTCTATCAATATTGATAGACTCCTGATGTAATCGCATGCAGCATTCATCAATGTTGGCACTCGAGTGCGGCATCATCATACGACACGTAGTGCTTGAATACCCAAGGTAAAAATACTATGCGCATATACAAAGACAGGTAGACCCATTTCCATTCACGACCATTTCCGCAATTCTTCGATGCCATTGTAGTATGAATTCCGACACGTTTTCGTGCATCCGTGAGTGGCCGATTCACACGTGTAGGCTTACCCATCGTCTGCGCTAACATATCAGAGTATAATCACTCATTCGTGTCCATGCCATATTCGATTGACACGGACACGCACACGCACACACACGCACGCACGCACGCACGCACGCACACACACATATCCGTGCATTATATATATATATATATATATATATCTATATATATATATATATATATATATATATATATATATATATATATATATATATATATATATATATATTGTGTGTGTGATGGATTCATTTATCTTGTTACTAGCTGTATTTCGGCGTTCGTGCGAGCGTTCTCAGGAAATAAGGAAAGTAACGCAAATAAATACACACAAAAACACAAAAATCATGATACGTCATCATCATGCATAGCAAAATCATAAAGCTTTTCGGAAGGAAAGTGCAAAGTAGGGATAAGTTGCAGTTTCTGACCTAGCTAAAATCTAAATCAAAATGCATCAACCGTCAGTAAAGCTGAGAGGGTCTATGTCCCCCAGGGTACTGCCGGAACGTATACCCTGGGTACGGTCCGGTATACCGGAACGTACCCTGGTACTATCTAATATGCCGGACCGTACCTCGCCTACTCCACTACGAGTCTAGGGAGTCGCCTACGCCTACTCCCTAACCCTAACCCTAACCCTAACCTTAAACCTAACCCTAACCCTAACCATATCAAATAGTTACCAGGGTACGTTACTGTATACCGGACCGTACCCAGGGTACGTTCCGGCAGTAACCTGGGGGACATAGACCCTATTAGCGTCAGTAAATAGTTGATGAATGTCTCATAGTTGATGATCTGTTAAATTTGTCAGAGAATTTTTGTCATTATATCTACCCCTGATAATATAAATGAGTATATATAAACCGTATAGCGATATATCAGTACAAAAGTTTAAGATATATAGCGGATTTTACTACGAGTATAGGAAGCGGAAAGGAAGGGGGTTTGCAGTGGAATGTGAAAGAATCACGGAGCACCATTAGAGCGTAGGTAGAGGCGCGCAAGGCGTGGCGGCTCGCCTTCACCTCTTCCGCGGTCAGGCATGAACTCACTATGCCGGAGATGTATTCATTGAAGGCCATTCTGTGATCGTAGGGATCACCCAACAGTTCACATTCGCCTACTCTTACACTGTCATATTTTACGGTCCTTATCCTATTCTCAGAGAAATATCGAACTAGCTCGTAAGTTTCGCTCGCTCTCGCCCTCACTCTATCTTCCTCGCTTTCACTTGCATGTTTGCTCCTGATGTTTGTACGCTTATTCGCTCGTTCACTCATTCTCTGTCTCTCTCTGTCTCTCCTCTCTCTCTCTCTCTCTCTCTCTCTCTCTCTCTCTCTCTCTTCCTCTCTCTACTTCTTCTCTCTCTTCTCTCTCTCTCTTCTCTGTCTTTATTCATCTTATGCCTCACTTCCCATTCCGGCATTCGCTCTCTTCTACGCCCGTTATATCCCTTACTAAAACTAAAATATTGATTGACTTGTACCCGAATGTCCAAAATGAACGAATCGTCTGGGCAGAGGAAGTACTTCGCAAATGATTAGTTGCTCGAACAAATCCATGCTCGTGCTGCCCTCTATATGCAGCCACGACAGGACCCCGAATGCTCACAACGCTGCGAAATGTTCGTGAGTGCTATGAAGTAAGAATGCGGATGAAGTACGGAAGTCTCATTTCTCATGACACATGTATACACTTATTTTTACTAACTCACATGAAAGTAACCAGGTTCCAGAGGAGACTCCACAGGCACAGAACATCTATGGTAGGTCTACTGACCCCTCCTCTTTTTGCTGGACTATAAAGCCTTCTCATTATTTCCACCATGGTAATTTAGTGATATAAACTATATATATGTTATTACGAATTAATTTGAAATAAAAATATAATTATATTAAAATAGTATAAAAGAATGTATAGAAATTTAAAATTATACAAAGCTTACAGAAGGTACAGAGATGATTTTGCTAACCGCCATTCAGTTTACATCAGACACACGCTAACTATACACGCCAACGCCACGCACACACACGCGCGCACGCAATCTCAGCACATGCGCACACACACTTAACGCGCTGCACACGCATTAAATTCACATTAAAAGTCAACGCACTGCACAGCATACGCTAGCCCACTCGTAACTCATCACGTACACCATTCTCAACACGCACGCACGCATTAAACGCGACGACTACGCTAAACGCCGCAAAATCGTAACATTACACGCACACACAGTTTAACGCTCTTCGCACGCCATTCAGCAACGCCTCACAATTAACCGCTCCCACGCACGCTGACGCACAATCGACCCCACACGCACGCACACAACGTAACCCAGCCCGGGTGCGTTATGATTACTTAGGATTTATTGTACCAGTTGATTAGCGTCCGAAAGTGTAACAAGACCGAAGAATGAGAGAGTTTTGCGTCCCGGGGGGGTCTCACCGTAATCTCCAAACAATTTGCTGACGCACGCGAAATGAGGGGGACTGTCGGAGGCCTCTCCCAGGGAAGATTTTTTGAATTAGCAACCGGCGTTTGTTCTCCCTTTCGATGCGTTTATTGCTGCCCTACCGTGCCGTTCCAGCATGGAGGAGCCGTTGGGTCCTGGGTGAACCCTACCCGTGCGCGCCCCCCCCCTCCCCCCCCCCCGCTGTATCACGCCCATGCTCTGACGCCTCGCTCTCCACGCCTCAGCGCCCACGCTACCTACTATACGCAGCACATCATTACACCACCACACACACACACACACACACACACACACACACACACACAGGGCCACACACGGCGCGGTGGACTCACACGCACAATATCGCTTGCACCAGGAAGCAAAGCGAGTTGTTGTTATGGTGGGGAATGGTCATAGGGAAATCTAGTAGGTATCGCCGGAAAATATTTAGTCAAAATGCAACGGATTGCGACCAATTATCTAGGAGGCCCTGTTGCAGAGCGAAGGGTTACGTGTCGCTAGGCTCAATCAACTCCTTGCACGCTAGCATCCAATCGTCATGAGTGTCATAATGAGATGATCGTCATAACTCGTGATTATTTTAACATATTTATTATTTCTTCGCAGTAACTATTTCTTTGGCACGCTTCAATAAGGATTACCAAAATAAATACACAAGCAAATTATAAACCAATCCTATTCGCCTGTAAATCTTTGTGGACTGAATCGTAAAATATATAATAATACATTTAGTTAATAAGCTTTGTGATATAAAAGTAAAATAATATAAATATAAGTTAGATAATATCGTGTAGTAATAACGCTATCGATAATTTTTGATCAAAAATATTCTGTTCGTTCTAATTGATTTGGGTAATAATTACATAGCACATATATGGTACATGCAAGCATCGCTCACACATCCATAGCCACGCCACCTACACACATAAACAGACGTGTTCGGTTCGCGAGCACGTAGGCTATAAGCACACACAACTACGTCCCACGTGTAGGACGTGTAACGTAATAACTACACGAAGATAAAGCGTCCCCAAAATGCAGACACGTAAAGCCACTAGAACATGAATAGGGTGCATGAATATCCATCTCTATGTCAACGTATGTGATTAGACGACAAAGTAGCACGTGCGTCAGCAGACACCGCCATTGACGTCATCGGCAGTTACTCGTTACGATCGTAATTGATTGTCGGCTATTACTCGGCGATCATTAAAACGACATCGTACAAGGTACTACACATGGCTTCGGTATGACGTGTTTTTAAATAGCGCAATTTAATTAAAATTAGTTGTAGGCAAATACGGCGTGAGAGATTTCATACACGGCGGCACTAGATCGAGGAAACTCACATGTTTTCCAACTCCATTATTTTTACCGCGGTAAAAATCATTCTGAGTACGATATGGCCAACAGTAAACGATTGAACCATACATCAGTAATTGTCACACATTGTCATAGTTCCATAGTTCCAAAGTGCAGGAATATCTGCAAAATAAGGTTTCCTTCATCGTCAATTCGTGGAAAACAATTTCAAATTAATATCGAGTAAACATGTTAGAGTACACGATTACGTAATTAATGAGTACCTAAGGTTAATTTAACAATTACTGTATTATAGTATATTAAATTGTGAAAAATAACGCAATACGTTGCATAATTACTTTGTTCACGTAATTCCTGGGATATGATTACATCAGGAGTGTATAATATAGATTCTATAGAGATCTCTATATTAAACACTCCTGATAAGGCCTACATCATGAATTTTCACCGGACTTATTTCGATCTTATTGAAAAAGACCCACATTTTTAACCATCAAACACGTTCAGGTTTTGTTTGTATCGTATAATATATCAGAAAACGCACTGCGTTATAATTATTTCTACAAATGAGACTAGCACTGAAATTCCATCTGCGGCAGACGAATTTTTCTCAAGCCACTCTATGAAATTTCTGCTTCCAAGACAAAAGAATGCATTTCCTTTGTTAGCACCCGCCAATATCACAGTTATTGGCAATGCCAGCAATTCACGATTAATGATTATACGACATAAACATGTAATAACATTGTTAATATGTATTTTTTAATTCATCACATGATTATTTTTCACAGTGTGAGTGTTATATTTCAATGTTGGTGTGGTCAAAACATAATGAAAACGGCCCACTTTTGGTATAAGTACAGCTCATTCTTATATATATTTAATATATACAAAATCGATAATAGTCTTACGATGAAAATAGTCACGGCCATAAACACGATTACGAACAACTCGCAAAAAATACAACAGATTACATGACACATGATACGCATGTCAGGAAATATAATCGCATAACCGCACGCATAACGTCCTGCATCGCGTATAGCCAAGCCACGCAGCTACCGTAGCATACCGCAAGACAAATACCAAACGCCAGTGAACCGATGCGATTTGGCACGTTGAGCTTGACGTCACCTTTTTTTATTTAAGTTCTCTCACCCTCTCAGTCTGCTAATTGAAAACGTTGATTGTGCGTGGCAACTGATTGCCTTGGTGCTAATCGATTGTACTATATAAAGAGCCGCTCAGAGCATATCTATCTATCAATACTGCTTGCTCTATTCCAAGATATTATATAGACCGCATATCTATATATCTTGGAATAGAGCAAGCAGTAATTATAAATAGATCGATTTCCACTCAGCATCACATGGTTCTGGCACACAAATATCAGCATCAATTAAACAACTCTGGAACCGCTTCAATGTTAAAAATAAAGTTTTAGCCCTTCTATTGATGTTCACTATAAAGCTACTTTTACTATACCGGAGGAAAGTAAATTTTATTTTCGTTAAAAAAAAGTCTTAAACACAATAGATCACAGTTAAAAATTGCATTGCACTGAGGTAGGCTGAGCTTTTCCTTTTGATTACCATGTTCGAAATAAGCTGTATGTCTGGTATTTCTATATATCATGAACTTTAATATCGTCATTCTATTCATTAATGAAATCCATATTTGCACATTTTGCTCGGGGCACAATTTTCATTATGTAGCAGTGACCTTTTATGTGAAAGTGAAAATCAATGAGAGAGTGAGATGTAATTGGGGTGATGCACGATGGCAAAATTTTACGTGGAAGAACTACTAGCTCTAGCTATCATTGAAGGCAATGTGGCTTATAAAGTGTACACACTTAGCGCATAGTCTGTATAGTACACGTGTAATACCATGAATCTATGCGTACGAGGTGTATCTACACTGAATATTTCACACATTTACACAAGATTAGCTTTGTCTTAGCCTGAGAGAGCTCAGCATGCACCGCAGCCTTTACACGTTGCACTACTGACTAACACTGTTATATCACCAACGTTTGCTTGCTTTTTTCGTAGCTCTACGCTCATACTTTTTTCGAGGTCTGTCCACATTGCTATATACACTGTGTCACTAACAGACCACACCGGTCAAGATTCGCGAATTTGCGGTTTGGTGACTGATGACTGAAAACTAGTAGTCTTTGTAGGTGATCCTGACCTTGGGTGTGGCAGTATCACTTTGAACAATTTGCCAGTGACAGGGCAAATGTGCCGATGGTTAGAGCAGTGTATGTGGGAGACTATACCATTCGGATACCTCAGAAACTGTGGATCTCTGAAAGGTTTATGGCACACAGCACAGCACCTGGATTTAAGCAAAAAGAACAAAAAATATTACGTGACATCCATTTAAGGCTGGATATGCACATTATATGTGCATTTCTGATTGGAAAAAGAATACTAACACCAAGTGTATACTTTTTCTATTGAATTACACTAATTTCAGAAACACTGTAAGTCTTCTCTGTCATGTAACATGTCTGCATGATAAATCATCACGTGTTTTTATCACACGAGTTTGACTCTACATTCTCCTGACAATAAAAAATTGGTAAATGCATTGCTACTTGTGTTACTCACCTGTCCTCAGTCACGATCTCACTTCGGTTCATCACGGAGGCTGTCGCAACTTCAGCCCCGGCCCTTGCACCCTGTGCTAGTGCTTGTTCTACGAGCTTCATCCGGCATTCATGCTGGCTCCTGCGAACCGTACGCACCAGAAACTGTCGCACGAGAGATATCGGCCAATCCTCTGGAATGAGCCTCAGCACCTGCAAGTTAGGTAGGTTAACCTAATTAAACATGGCTGCCTTACAAACACATATATGGTGATGGACATCGCACATATAAGTGATGATTGCATATAACTTTAACAAGCGCACGTATGCATGCAAACACAGAGGATTCAACGACAAGATTATGTTGGTCAGTATTTATACTTATGCACGTAGAATGTATTTTTCTACATGACAATAACTGTAAGTTGATATAACTGTATAAAGTTTACTCGATGCATTCATACTCATCAGTGTCTCAGTAATTTCCTATTCATCCCTAACAAAGAGGTAAGTAACCAGTTTGCAAGCAACGTTATTTCTGACCTAGACACCCCTGGATGTCATTACCTCTGCTCCGTCAAACTCTGCCTTGCTACTGTTCAACAGACTAATCGCAGCTTCCATTAAGGCTTTCGCTGTCTCTGTATTACTGCAAGAAAAACACACAACAGGGAATTTAACACTTGCATGCTGATACTTAAATGAATGTATTTAAATACCAGTCTAAAATAAATCTGATCACAGCGCATCAATAGCAATGCATTGGAATGCAAACTCCTCATAGAATGGCATCAAAAATATTAATAAAACTTTTAATTTGATTTTTTAAATGATTATTCATTAATTTTTCTTGATCTTGAAATCTATGCACATTTCCATGGTTATGATTACGCTGCAAACGTTTTTATTCATGTGCATACATACTACACACAAATTAGGTCACCTCATTGCTACCAAGGCAAAAATTGAATGTTTGTGCATTGGTATGAATAAGTATCAGTTTAAGTTAAATGTTTAAACTTAATTACATTGCCACATCACAATGTCAAAGATCGTAAGTGGCTATCTTCACAGTGAAGATCTATGGAGCACAATAATATTGACAATGAATATGAAGCAAGAAGAGAAAAGAGAAGAACATGAAAAGAAGGAAGCAAAGGAGAATAAAGAAGAAAAGGGAGCCGATAAAGAACAATAATTAGAAAAAGAAGAAGAAACAAGTGCCGCGGAGCGACAGCGCTCATCTAACGTCTACTGCGGTGACTCTGTGGTGGAGTGGTGAGATTCTAGTAAACCCTGTTAGTCCCAAATGTGTTCAGATACACGCCGAAACAGTGGAAGGCACAGGGATGGTATCAGAAACCTTCTCAAAGGAATGTTCGTTGGGATCGTTATGAAAGTTGTCACGAGATGGCGCGTACGTTTAAGTGTCTTAAGATTAAAGATGGAAGCTCCCATTGTACGCAGTAGCAACAACTATTTGCAAGACAGAATAGGTAAGCACTCATCCATTTACCTACGCAAGCCTACAGGCTGAAATAGAGAGCTGCCACCTGTAACTAATTAACGCAGGCAAAAACTACACAGTACTATCACCACCACATGCAGTGGCATACGTTACATGTAACACACTGACAGTACAGAATGCCATAGAAATTATACGATTTAAGGAGGATAAAGAAGAAAACGAAGAACAAGAAGAACATGAAGAAGAAGAAGAAGAAGAAGAAGAAGAGGAAGAAGAAGAAAAAAGAAAAGAAAGAAAGACGAGAAAAATTAACCAAAAGAAGAATAAGAAGAAAAAGAGAGAAAAAAACAGGAAAAAAATGCAAAACAAGATGATGATATAATGGCAACGACAATGATAGCGACATCACTTACCCATCGGCTGGCTGGCTCATGTAGGCTGTGAGCAGGTTGTAGAAGAGCTTGTGTCTGTACGAGCGAGAGCGGCCACGAGCATTCACACTGCAGTACTGCTCAGCAGCTGCGTAGTCTCGCAGCCGATGTACGAGGATCTCCAAGGCCTGCTCATGCTCCTCAAGCTGTGCACGCAAGCACACATCTCATCAGGGGTGAATAACGAGAAATTTCTCATCATAACAATTTATGACAATAAATTACGACAGCAAATTTATGACAACATTATGACAACATTATGACAAACAATTATGACAAACAATTTATGACAAATTATAATTTGTCATTATTCACCCCTGATCTCATCAGCACTAGTTAATCAGGACTGTCACCATTAGCAGTTAAACAGCCAGGGTACCATTGTAGACGAGTATAAACCAAATCATAGCAGGTGTACTATAGAAGAGAAGTGCAATGTCGAAGAATAATAACACAGGTACTATCGGTGTAGAAGAGTACTGTATACGCTGTATATTTCGCGGTGGTTTAATTTTCGCACATTTCGCGAACGCGTCCCCGACCGCGAAAATAACAACACGCACATAATTCATACCGAATAATTCACCCACCGGGAAATTGTCCGTCAAGTCTTAATTCGCGAATACAGTACATTAATGACAAATAATAGAATGTAGAATAACTGTAAACGTACAACCACACTTGCACCAATGTCAAAGACATTGTAGTTCACGTACCTATTCAGTCTTGGTCCTAAGCCCATTACACTATCCTCACCAATTGCAAGACTATTTTATTTGTTATTACCACATCCATTGTACTGGCATTCGAGGTATGTATTCCCATCTCCGAAATTTGCATTGAAATTCAGAATCAGCAGGGTAGTTTGCATTCAACTAATATCATTGCAATTAATGCGCTAAGCATTAATGTAAACTTGTGAAGTTAAGATGGTCCCCAGCTCCCTTCAATAAAGACATGGCACAACTGCCTTTTAACCTAGCCAAACTATCGAGTCGAGTTAGAAGAAAGCCATCTCGATAACTGTGAATGAGGCCACCCTTAACACATTCCGTGTTCCCAGTAACCTAACCCTGAATGCAAGCGGTAGGGCAGTAGTTGGGAATTAATTAATTAAATGTCTGTCAGGTACCATACGGTAAATGAGAACTTATTTGACCGTGGCGTCATTGATCGTGAGAGCTCATACCTTTCCATGCAGTATTGCACACTCTGCGCTCAGCTCTAGTTCTTGTGCTTTACCGAGCAGAATGTGCACTCTGTAGGCAGATGAATCCTGGAGCATGGTTTGCAGTCTCCGTCTGAAAAACGTATGACAATAAAACATTGCAACAAAGGCAAATTCATAGCAAACTAGATTTCTATATTGTGAACAGATTTTTCTTGATACTATGTTCGATTTGCACGAAGCTATTTCATTGCGACAGCAAATATTCACAAATTAGAAAAACCCAAATCTTTCAGGAATTTAACAGACTTATTTGGAAAAAAGATAAGCTTTGTATTGCACTTTAATATGAATTTGTAAAATCATTGTTTGCAATAAAATAAAATTTACTGAGAAAACCTTTAATCGTAAGTTAATATAGCACCATATTTAGTGTAAGGGTGATAGTACTGTAAAATATGTCTTTATTTAGGAGGCACTCTGTACACCTTACAAAATGGCCGGTTATGTAAAGTGTGTATCATACACAGCAGAACATAGATAAACTTGATAATACAAACATTAACCTGCTCAAATTGTAATGTTATGGGAGCAAAATAGTAAATAGGAAAACGCAGAGTTAGATTGTATTTCTTTCCAACCAGTTCATCCACAATACACTACACTGACATCACTTTAGTGATAACAGAGGGCACCATCTGCTAGTTTTGCACTATTGGTGTGTGTTACAGTAACGTCTACTGTACCTAACGTACCTAGCATCTTCTAGGAGGCCCTGCTCCGTATTGTTAGTTTTCATCAGGTTCTGCACGTTGTTCATGTACAAAAGTGCCAAATGTGTGTGATATTTCTCTTTCTGAAACGAAACACAGAACGTCATAATTGGGCAGGTGGCAGATTCAGAGAAAGCCATGAATTGCAGATAATGCTGCTCCTGTGAGCTTAGTACTAGTGTACAAACAGAACTACTTGCATCCATCCCGATCCCTGTCATCATTATAACAGGGCAAGCTTTCACATCTGAAGTATTCCGGAACCCAATGTAAACCCTCAGTACAGTATACCTCCAGTCTAAGGGAGAAGACCAGGTATTCGAGGTATTTAAGTAATGCTTCAGGGTAACGCTGGAGAAACTCCAGCACCGCAGGCGCCTGTGCAGGTTCCAATTCAGCGCCATCTACTGACTGACAAGTAAACATCTGCAGCAGAAAATAATTGTTTAATGAGACAAGCATTCATATTCATACGTAATTCGTACTGATTTACTAGTTCTCAGGGAAATTTGAGTGAATAGTACATAAATGTCACTAGTCGGTTAGGTCGTTTGTATAGCAGTTAAAAAATAGTAGATGACAGCAAGAAACAAACTATCGGGTCTTGGGTAAAGGGTAGAAATAATAAAAAAGGTAGAACAATAATTTCAAAGTAAAAATTTCCGAGTAACAATCACCAGTGATCCAGTTTCATAAAACAGATACTAGTTTGAAGAAGAACAGGCATTCCTAATCACTGAGCATTAGCAGTCGTGACTTTACACACCACCGCTCAGTATCTGCACTTATTGACAGAGATTCACTGGGTTTTACACGTTTACCATGATACACGTCCAGAGCACAAATCGTAGCATTACATACAAAACAAAGTATATGGGCATGATGACTTACTGTCACACCAAGTTTTTCATCTTTTTTAAGAAGCCAGTCTGCATACTTCCACATTAAATGCTGGTCTGTCACACTGGATGGGAAAAAATTGGTAAACAAATGATTCCCAACAAAAAAAAGATTCATGAGACTCAACCGTTTAAAAAAAAGCGATATGACACTATATTATACGATTTATCTAGTCAATGTCGTCAATACAAAAAATATTGACCATTTTATATGTTTAGTGATGATTGTGCTGTAGTGCCATAGAAATAGGGTACTATAAAATAACTCAATGTATAATATAAAGATTTGGCTTTAAAACCGAACAATACTCTTTAGTGCATATTAACATATGTATTGCATAAAGAATTGTATATATGTCTGTTATCAAAAAATATTAAACTGAAATATGCAGTAAACCTGCAGTAATGATCCCAGTTAAATTCTGCCATTATCTAAAAAATAATAATCAATAATCCATGTATATGGTATGTCACTTTTACTTTACCAACCATGCATTAATGAAATATGACCACGCGACGTACTTACGATGTTAAAATTTTTGCCATGTATTTAATGTTTACTAATGGGTCACCCTCCAGTTCACCATCAAGCATCCTATCAGTGAACAGAATATATAATAATATTAGAATATACTAGTATACTATATTAGAATCACGTAAGTAACGCTACTGTATAATGACCAACAAGACATCTAATGAAACTGCCAAATGTACAGCATTATTGAACTCACTTATTGTACTGGGGCCCGTTGCCAGAAACTTCGTAAAGTTACGATTAATTTTAAGTCTAATGTTAATGTTAAGACTAATTTTTTTCTGGCAACGGGCCCCTGGCAGATAATATGTGGTCTTGCTATTTACTCAAGAAGACACCTTTTTTACTGTAGTGTAATTTAACTGTTATGTAACTGTACACTCCTAAATAAAACAAATACACCCGTTTTCTACCACCTAATAACTCATTAGAATTATGGATTTAGCAACACAAAAGAAAAAATATTAAGGGCACATTAATAATACTGTTCCTAGCTCTGACTCAATCATTCAAGTGCATAAATTAGCAACATAGTGCATATAGTATACAGCTACAACATCTACCTACCTGGTCCAGAGAGCGAGAGCACTATTGAGATCCCCACGCGCTCTGTGCAGCAATGCTAGAGCGTGGTATCGGCCATGCTGCTGCAGCACCTCAGTACAGTCAGAGAGGTCTGCTTTGCAGTTATTCTGCACCAGCTTACATAGCTTATCGGTGTCCATCTCTGCGTAGAGCTTTACTAGAGCCGTATCAACCTCCTGCAAGTAGATAGCTCACCGGTGGGTCTGTGATGGATGTGGTCGCTGGGCGGGCATAATAGATGCAATCAGTGTATCATGTGAAATTGGCTGTAACATCTAACTTGGGTTGACAATAGATTATGACAATGAAACATGAAAATGGGACAAAATCAAAATGGAGTTTGACATCTAAATATACAAGTGATATTTCCCCTAAAATCTTGCTTGAAAAGATTCCTATTTCCTGGTAAGTAATATTTAATTTATAACATTTTAATTTGGTTTAAAAATTTGTTTCATTTTAGCTTCCAGATAAATATAGACAGACACCTAGTTAAACAGACAGCCTGCCAAACTATTAGAGGCCCGTATTGTAAAAAGTGTCTCCAGTATATGTGAATGATTACGTAAAACCTCTCTTACATCTTGGCATGCACACAACGTCTCTTACCTCTCGGCACGCGAGCACCCGCCTAGTCTCTCTGATGTCCTCCAGAAAATCTGCCAGAAACTGCTTGTACTCGCTCATCTGTTGCTGGTTGCCATGGGTGATCTGGCGTATGTCTGCGAGATCATGCAGTGCTGGTACAGCACGTGTGTAGTTTGATGAGCGGGGCATCAGCAATGGATACAAACTGATCACCTATACGAAGCAATGTCTTGCTGGATTTATCAGGGAAAGACGTGCTGTTAACAAAAATAAATGCAAACAAACCCCACACATATTGCTGCCAGAACAAATTGATGAGACAACCTTGTTAATTTAAACTGCATTAATTCGTTTAGTGACCAGATGCCTGTTGTCAGAGACATGTCTAAAATGTCCTACATGAAGTGCTGTTGAGAGGTTATGGCATTTTAAACTCATGATAGCCATACCTATCTCTGATGCATCTGGCAATGGGCCATTATGCTATAAAGTTTAAGTTATATAATGTTTACACGATATAAAGAACATACCTCCCTGGCATCGACTAATCCAGACTTGAACAGCTCCACAGCTTCACTAAAGCGATGCTGGGAGAATTCAATAAAGCCAGCCTGTTGTTGTATTGTTTCATAAATCTGCAAAGACCAAGAGATGTGTGTACCAGATGCTTGCCAGAATAACTTCATAAGTGTTTTTACTGGTTGCTTGAGTTGCCCATTATTTTTGGGTGATGCAAACAAGTGCAAAATGTTAGTAAAAAGTGCACTGCAGATGACATCATAGAGTAAGAGTAAACTCAAAGTAACAGAACAATTAAGATCAAAACCAGCCACATAACTTGTCAATTATACGAAGTGTGAAAAATATCGTTTTCAGCATTTTTAACACTTTTTTCGTGGTTGGAAAATTTCAGGTATTGTTTTTAATATCAATTTATGACATTTGACTATTCTAATTAATTAATTGGATGAACAGGGTAGGTTCAAGGTTGTCACTGCACATCACAAGAGCATGTCGTAGGGATTTAAAGAATAACCAGGTCTTGGTAATAGATATTCATGTTACATTTATAATACTGTACTTTATTAAATCTGTCCTTGGTGAGCCCAGTCTTGTATGAGTTTCTAGCCAAGTCTAGTGCCTCTGTAATACGTTTGTCTGCCAGTAATGACTGTATCTACAATACAAAAAAATATGAGAATAAATTCAATTACTTCTGCCATCAAAAATCGGTATCCACTAGAGCAGGGGTGGGCAAACTGCGGCCCGCGGAAGCCTGCAACAAATAAAAAAATAAAAAAAATAAAATAAAAAAAATAAATTTTTGTGAAAGTCAACATGTCAGGGGCGTGTACAGGGGGGGGTCCAGGGGGTCCGGACCCCCCCTGCTCGCGCAGAAAACGCATCTAAGGGGGTCTAATTTCAAAATTTTGACCCCCCCTTCGCGTGCTCGCAAGTTTGGGTTACGTTTAGACCCCCCTGGTACAAATCCTGTACACGCCCCTGCATGTTTGTGCTTGAACCGAGGCTGACTTTTTCAGTGTCATACAGATTAGTGTTCTATTGTCTCTGGTTCGCTTTGCAACGCCATTTCAGCTAATTATGGTCCAGAGATGGCGGCCTTGAGGCGAAACACACGTATTATCTTAGAGCGCACCACCCGATTTCAAAAGGTGCGGCCCTTTGACTTTTCATGGCCCACTGATGCGGCCCTCGCTTTGAAAAGTTTGGCCACCACTGCACTAGAGCATGGTTATTATTTTAATATATGAAAGAATATCACGTTCCCTGTTGAAACTCACCTGGATCTCCCATGGCACAGGTACAACTCCATATACTTCCCTGGCAGACGCAACAAATATACGACCGTCAAACTCTCCCAGAACTCTGCCACCATTAAATGATATTATCTGCTTCTGTTGTTGGTCTATTACACTGTGAAACAAACACATATGCAGATAAATGGTAGTGTATCCAATAATACTCAAATGCTAATTGATAACACCAACAGTAGTTACTTATACTAAGTTAGAGTCACAATCCCTTGACCATAATGACAATGAACTACTAATACATGCATATAACTACCTGTGCACTGTTATAAACTGTTCGTTCATGGCAAGCACGTATGGGTGGCTGTAGCAAATGGATGCTAAGTTGTCTATCATGTGCACTGGGGGGCGCTGTGAGATGCCAGATGCACTGGCAAACATGCCTAAAGCACTCGGACCACTGAGTAGAAATTCTTCCTGTAACAAGCAAATCACCAAATATATGTTCCCTCCTAGTACAACTCTTGATAACATGGTGACAAATTTAACACTGTTGGGAAATGTTAGATTTTCTTATTCCGATATATTACATAGCATTTCTGAGAAAAAGTGACATTTATACCATAATTTTGTAATGCAGTTTGACAAATCGCAAGCTGTCAATGAGATTAAATGAATATCATAAACGTTAGGAGAATAACATTAAATAACTTCATAGTGCAATTTTTGGTTCTAGTGCTCGATACCTATTATATTTATTCATATGCTAATTATAACACGTCCATGTTCTGACATATTGTCCTAGATATAAATGTTATTTCAGAAGTCAATTTGTGTACAGACCTTTGCAACTCGTTTCACAAATGGCATAGTGGTCTCGCTATCGTAAGGAAAGAGGTCTTGCAATCTGTTCGTGTCACAGTTGATGACAATGTACTGACTGGTCAGTGCTATACAGATGTGGGAGCCATCCATTGCCTGTGAAGCATTACATTATCATAACCATGATTAATGTAAATAGAAACAACTTTACCACTCAAAATTCATAAGCACTTAAATGCTTCTAACCTGTTAAAACTTGCTAGGATGAATATCTATGTTCTTTGTATCTATTATATACTTGTATTTGACTTACCAACATACTTTTACTTTCGTTGGAATATATGATGACTTAATTAGTATTGACAGCAGACGCCGAGATCAAACAACTAGTCATAATATTACTTCAAACAAATTTCCTGTCAACAGGCAATATGGATATCTTGTGTCAAAAGATGATACTCTAGAACATAGCAAACTAATTAGATCCAGTTCGTAATCTGCATCAAATGTCAAAATGCTGCTATAAGCGTGTTACCATGGTGACCGGCAGATCGGGAAGCTGAATTTCGTGATCGTGCATGATCCTATCCTCTGTCACAGTGAAGAGATGCAGTTGTTTCTTCTTACTCGCTGTACACATCTATACTCCCAGGTTACACAACAGCAGCAGCAGTGCAAGCAGAAACAAATTAAATGGTTAGACTACCAATGTCGATCGACTATTCTCACATTTCTGCCAAGAGTGAATAGTGCTGGTGGAAGTCATGCATGTTTACAATTAAACGTTAAGCTAAAGTCACACTGGGGCCGGACTGTCCACGGATTACCGCGGATGGGGCAGGATCTCCCCGAACCGTAAAATTTATAATCCGTGGCGATCCGGGCGAAAAAATGCATCATCGGGCCGGATCGGGCCGGACCAGCACGGCAGCGCCACGGACCATCCTGGATTGAGCCCGGATGAAGCCGGCCCTAGCACGGAGTCACTACGGACCGCCCCGGACCGCCCCGGACTGCCTCGGACCGCCACGGACCTGATCCGGCCTGGTCCGGCCCCGTCCTGGCCCATCCGTGCTCCCATCCGTGTTGGGTCCGGCTTGATCCGTAGTGATCCGTGGCCGACAAAAACGACACGGATGGCCACGGATGGGCCCGGTTCAACACGGTGCCACTACGGACTCTCCCGGACCTACCACGGACTGTCCCGGACCTACCACGGACGCGCCACGGACCGTCCAGGACCACCCCGGATGGTGAAAACTTCCCGGACCGTCCCGGATCACCCCGGCAATTTTAAACAGTTTAAAACATCCGGGGCGATATCCCGGAATGCGCCGGACCATCAAGGACCACCCCGGACCGGGCCGGACCGTCCAGGACCGTCCAGGACCCAACAAGGATCTCTCCCCGGATCAGTCCGGCAGCGTCCGGCCCGGTCCGGGAGCTTGGTGTGACTTTAGCTTTAAACCATGTGTCATATTACTGGTGCAACTATTTGTAGTCTATGCAATTAACAATGTTGAGAAACTGTTATCTTTGAAAATCCTGCATGGCATTGCCAGGAATAGTAGCCATTCTTTCATCCAAATGAAATAAACTGCGTACAGCAGACCAACTGATTGATTGATCGACTGAATACATGCCTGATGCACTATATGACTACAAAAACCTAATAAACACACCTGAACGCTGAATGGGTTGTTAGAGTCCGGATTTTCATTCAAGCAAAATGATGTAGCTTTTGCTTTGCTTGCTGTTGTCACAGGCTGAAACAGTTCAATTAGTAATGACATTTAAAACGCTGTTAAATCAGGGGAATGCAATTTAGCTACAATTTAAAAACATCATGAAGAATGCCAAATATCGACAACTAATGATGGCACACAGATTGGCATATAATCACATACAATGAAAATAGTTATATACAACTAAGTAATACAACTCTGCAACATATACTTCAGCCTTGCAGTACTTCACACCTGACAATTTTAAGGCAAAGCGATTGTTATGACTCTGAATGAAATTCTGCACACATATATAAATTATTTTTAAGACTGTTTGATATGCTAGCTATTAGCAGGAGTAATATAACTTATTCAACAACTGACAATAATTGACTATACTATTTTTCAATTGAATATATTACTAGTATACTTGTACAGGGTTTACATTTACATGTACATGAAAATTTACATGTAAATGATTATTTGTAACAATGTTGTGTGATTTACCCCTGTTACATTAACACTAAACTTAGATCCTATCATTACCTCAAGATCAAACATGCTTAGCATAAAAACACTGCCGTCAAACTGTACAAGAAGTCTATACAATGCGGAAGCTGCCTTTAATTGGTTGACTGGCTTCTTCTGCAACATTTAGAAAAATAACACTGCTTGTTTATATGCTGCATTATTGCACAAAAGCATAATGACTGTGATTTTTAAATGTCATGTACTTTCGAATGACACTTAAAAGTTAGTAAAATTTGTCAAAGATTGACAGCTGTCATCTACTGATTACTGCTGATCGCGATGAATATCAATTCTCTATCTGTTTATCTTTCTTACCTGTCCTAAAAACCTATGCTTTGTTTGATGACTTTCATAACCAGTTCGTCCATTCAACATTTTTTCATCAAAGGAATATTCTATGATATACCTGAAACAAAATAGTTCACACAATTAGCCTTGCTACCAAATAAAAAAGTTCACATGAGAAACACGCTTTACGAATGATTAAAACAACTTAAAAATACTTAAAATCAGCTTATGGTAGAAAGTATGATGGTAAATGGAACTTCACTCACAAATTTGTCAATAGCAATATCAACTATTCTAGGTTTAAAGTACATCTGTATACCCATCATTCGTTCCAATGAAGATATTTTTCCCACATGACTCGATGCATTCAATCTATAAATAACAAGATGAATAAATGACAGATTTTCTCATGTTATTACTCATGAACTTATTTAATAAACTTAATGAATAATGACTTAATGAATTAACTTAATGAATTAATAACTTAATGAACTTATTTACTCATGTTATAAATAAGTATATGAAAACATCACACACACCCACAAACTCATGATAACTTTTATGCAGGGGTAATCAGTAATATGCTTGCTAACAGGTGTGTGACCTAATTTGTCTGCATGCATAAATTTTTATATTTATTTATGAGATAATAATTTGAATGATTTAAAATAGGAAAGGGAGTTCTGAATAAGAATTATCAATTAGTACTCTGTACATGGAGTACACGCAACCCAGGGCACTGATTGCAGAAACATGCATATTCACACTATGTAAAAGCTGTCTAATCGGCCGGTGGCACTTTTACAAACTGGCCGCCCGACGCGTTGCCTTGGAGGCTGACTACATATATCTACTATTACTAAGTAAAGACGGTTTATTGATGGTGACTTAGCATTCCTTTTTTTCATGGAAAACCGCTTCATTTCCATTTCAATTAAGTTATGAGCTTACTTTTTTTATTTGTATTGCGATGTAGGTGGTCATAATTTACAAATTTACAAAACCTAGGGTAGGGGATAGGGGTAGGGTACGGGGTAAGGGTAAATACCAAATTAGGGGTAAGGGGTGAGTTATCATTACCCGTTATCGTAACATGACATATATTACTATAATCGAAATGGAATTAGTATTAGGCCGACCAAATAATTACCTTTGGTTCGGGTCACCCGCCCGCACTTCACATTTCGGAGTGAAAAATGTGCGACTGCGGTCACTTTTAGAGGGTGTCAAGAAAAAATAAAATTCAAAGATACCGCCTGCCGATCATACATATTCAAATATCCAACTCTTGTCATTTTATTTAACTAAAAAGAGTTCCAAAATATTTTTCCTACAACGTGAAACAGTCGTATAGAGCCCTGGGCCGACTACTTCATAAACAGAGGCTGAAGGTCGTATGGCGCGGCGGCCGGCTTTGATGTACGCGATCGATCACGTACTATATAGTATACGCATGCTATCGTGCTATACGCGGCCGCAGAGCCGTTGCCGCACACACTGTGGAACGCGCTGCGCCACGTGGACGATGGCGCAGCGCGTTCCACAGCGTGTGCGCATGCAAAATGCGTCGATCTGTGGCGTGTGGAAAATATCACACGTGTTTGATATTTTCTTCCACGTGTGGAAGATTGAACAGCGTCTGCGGAGTGGCTGTGTAAAGTTCCACACTGTCTCTACACTTGAACGTGTTTTAACGATGACATTTCGACGTTGTTTTTACGTTGCTCTCTCTCTCTCTCTGTGTTTGTGTGTGTGTGTGTGTGTGTGTGTGTGTGTGTGTGTGTGTGTGTGTGTGTGTGTGTGTGTGTGTGTGTGTGGTGGTGGGTAGGGGGTTTACGGGGGGGTCACCGCCTACC